CCAGAAGCGCGTGGGCCGTGTGTGGGGTTACCATGCAGTGAAAGAAATCAACGCTGGAGTGGTGGATCTGAGCAATGACAAAGTCGTTGACGGTGGGAATGTATCGGCGGTTCGGGAAAGAAAGAAGCGAGACGGTGTTGCGTTTCGCATCGGTCGTCAACAGACCAGCTTGTGTTGCCGTTAAGACATGATTGGTTCCCTTTGAGGAGGGCTGTGATAGGATACGGAGGCCGGGGCCTAGTCGGAGAGGGTTGGAGCTGTTGGTAGGAAGATGGTCTTGAGGTACCTCGTCGCTAGGTAATAGGACAAGCGGGGCACTCATGATGCCAGACTAGATAGACTGTATTTTGAGAATGGCTTGAGTGTAGAAGTCTCTGAGAGAGGAGATTCAATTCTGTATTGCTGGATTTGTTTCGTGCAGATAAATTGTCTGCTTTTACGCATTGATTCTGCGAAAGAAAACGACATTTCTTATCAACACGTGACCTCATAGTGTGTACACTGACCAAACTTAACTGGGGACGATGAATAAATTAAGTGTTTTGAACTGTTAATAGAATATTGTCACTTGTTCGTATCATTTTATTCTAGCATTAGAGCCATATCTATCATGGATTACTGTCCGTGTATGAAGATGTCAAGCGTGGCGGTGCCTTGATCGAAATCGCCACAACCGCTATCGATAAGCACTAGCCACATTTGCGGCAGACGAAAATCTTCAAAAATCTTTTTCAATCGTTCCCCCTCAATCGAGACTTCCACCCATTATTTCGGATACCCCCGAATCTACTTTCACGCCGTGACGTGAGATCCTTATTCTTTTAATCCAAAAAAAGTACATATTTACAACTTCGACATGGGTGACGCTGCCAACAGTGCCCCCGCTGAGGCGGAGCGCTTTGCTATCGGTATCTCGTTTGGTAACTCGTGCAGTTCAATTGCCCACATCTCGCCTGTACGTCCTGATATTCATTTTTCGGGCTAAAGAATGGTGACTGACAAGTTCATAGGACGGCAAAGCTGAGGTTATTGCCAACGAGGAAGGAGGTGAGACCAATGAAACCCCACGATTGGAGAACTCAAATTAACACACTCAGATCGTCAAATTCCTTCCATCCTTTCTTACATCGACGGCGAGGAGTACCACGGCACACAAGCCAAGGCCCAGCTTGTTCGCAACTCGGCCAACACCGTCGCATACTTCCGCGATTTCCTCGGCAAGGAATTCAAGTCGATCGACCCTACTCCCTGCCACCAGTCTGCCCACCCCCAACAGCAGGACTCGACTGTCGCTTTCACCATCCGCGATACCGAGAGCGAGACCCCCAACACTGTCACCGTTTCCGAGATCACCACCCGTCACTTCAAGCGTCTGAGAAGCTCCGCCTCTGACTACCTTGGTAAGGATGTCAACGCCGCCGTTATCACCATCCCCACCAATTTCACCGATGCCCAGCGTGAGGCCCTCGTCGCCTCCGCCAAGGCTGCTGGCCTTGACGTTCTCCAGCTGATCCACGAGCCCGTTGCTGCTGCTATGGCTTACGATGCCCGCCCCGAGGCGACTGTTACCGACAAGCTGGTTGTCGTTGCTGACTTTGGTGGCACCCGCTCCGATGTTGCCGTTGTTGCCTGCCGCGGTGGCATGTACACTATCTTGGCCACTGCCCACGACTACGAGCTTGGCGGTGCCTCCCTGGATAAGATCATCATTGACCACTTCGCCAAGGAGTTCATGAAGAAGCACAAGACCGACCCCCGCGAGAACGCTCGTGGTCTGGCCAAGCTGAAGCTCGAGTGTGAGGCCACCCGCAAGGCCCTTAGCCTGAGCAGTAACGCTCAGCTGAGCATTGAGTCCTTGGTCGACGGTGTTGACTACGGTTCCACCGTTAACCGCACCCGTTTCGAGCTTCTCGCCGGCAAGGTCTTCAGCCAGTTCACTGCTCTGATCCAGCAGGTTGTTCAGAAGGCCGAGCTCGATGTCCTTGATATCGACGAGGTTATCTTCTCTGGTGGTGTTTCCCACACCCCCAAGCTCGCCAGCTTGGCCAGCAACATCTTCCCCGAGAAGACCAAGATTCTGGCTCCTGCCACCTCTGTCACTGCCATCAACCCCTCCGAGCTGTCTGCCCGTGGTGCTGCCTTCCAGGCTTCTCTCATCCAGGAGTTCGATCACGAGGACATTGAGCAGTCCATCCACCCTATGGTCACCGTCACCCCTCACCTGACCAAGGCCATTGGTGTTGAGTTCACCTCCGAGACCGAAACCACCTTCCAGCCCCTCCTCGGCGCTGAGACCGCCCTTCCTGCCCGCCGCATCGCTCAGTACTTCGCTCCCAAGGAGGGTGGCGATGTCCTAGTCCGCGTGTGCGAGGGTTCCCGCGAGATCAAGGTCACCAAGCCCGAGCCCAAGGCTAAGGAGGACAAGCCCGCCCAGGATGAGGATGACTCCGACTTCGATTCCGAGGATGAGGAGGAAGAGGAGACCCGCGAGATTGTCTGGAAGACCGAGAAGCCCGTTGCTGAGCTTGCCGTCAAGGGCGTCAAGGCTGGCAGCAAGATCGAGGTCATGGTCCACGTCAACCCCGATCTCGGTCTGCAGATCGCCGTCCGTGAGGTCGGCTCCCAGAACGCTGTCCGTGGTGCCGTCAACGGCTCCGCTTAGGTCTTTTCCCCCGTGAAATAAAAATAAAAGACCTGGATTTCGTTTATGGTGTGATGATGCATGCACGACTGATAGAGGCTGTGATTTTTTCTTTTTGTCCACGATTTGTACTGCAGTTATCGTCATGGAGTCTTTCCCTTTATAGTTCCTAAATAGACTCAGTTCGATAAAACCAATCAATACTGGTTCTCTTTTTCAGCCCACTTCACTCTACTAGGTTCCGATCATTTCCCGACATCCATTTTGCTTCCTCGGGACTATTCATTGAGAATCCAAGATATATGACTGTCTAAAATTTACATTCCAAAGATAAAGTAACGGTAGAAATTATATTACAACTAGATTAGATAGGTTCGCAACCGAAAGCACAAATTCCTGCATAATCTTCATATCGGAGAATGGTTGAACCATAGGATTCATCAACAAATCATCGAAGACTCGCGTGCCTTCAAACATAACCGGACCCAAGGCAGGGAGAGTATTGCGCGGGAAATACTCAATTGCCGCCTTATACAAGATACAAGAAGGCCGTAGACTTATTAGGCGAGTAAAGATCGTAAGGGTTTCGTAACAACATCAAGCGAGTGTGGGTAGTTCAATCTTTCAGGCTGCATCCGGGTTCATTCAGATGCAGTTGAGGAGATCAGAGCGAAACAAACGGCCTCTTGAGGAAATAATAAACTCTCAAAGGGGATATCAAGGCAGGAAGACAAAGGCGTGTGGAGGATGGTCCGGAGATCGACAGGTTCAAGTCGACATTTTCTGGTGCTCCGGCTTGTTCTTGTAGAGATGAGCAAGCGGGCTTCTCATGGATAGGGGACATCCATTTAAGCGTAATTCGTGGTCTCATTCTTCTGGCTTTTCACGCTGTTTGAGCGCTGGGAGGAGAAGAAACCACGGCGGCGCTCCCGGCGTCCACTGTATCCACCGCTAGTATCTTTCCGGCCAACGGCACCACCGAGGCAGTACACCAAGCACGCAATGAACTGGCAGACGGATGCGGTCCACATGAAGGCGAATGCCTTGACACCCAGGTGTGCACCCTGGCCGTTGTGCTTGAACGATTGGCGGCCCTGGACAAAGACAGCACTATGAAATATAGTTAGCACTTTGTTTTCTGGGACAAGTCTAGTTCCAATTGCAGTGGTACATACGTCATGAGACAGGTCGTGATAATCTGGAAAGTCAGAGCGATCCAGGCCAGGAAGCCGGAGAGGTAGCTGGCAACGCGAGTGCAGATGGCCAGCATACCAGTGAAGAATGAGCATACGGCGAAGAACAGACCGATGATGATGAAGGGGAACATGAACCGGGAGGTCAAGAAATAGTGATTCGTTCTACATTGTAAATATGGTTAGCACCAATGAACTAGGATATATCAGTTCTCAACATACCCGATAAACTCATGAGGGATGTTCTCGTTCGTGCCGAAGTTGCGGTGGCCTGGGGGATCGAATGGGAAGTCCACATGGGTGTCTCCGCAAAGACTCTTGCCGTCCTTCACATCACAGATGTTCCAGAATGTCCAACGCGAGGTTGTCGGTGCACCTGGGATATTTCCCGTATCCGCCTGGAGGAAGTAGATTCGATCCAGTGGCGTGGTGTTGGTTACACCTCCCAATAGAGTGAGGAAGATCAGCAAGATCGACCCTGCCATGAAAAACAGGCCTGTCAACCCCAATGATGCTCCTATAGATGGTTAGGTTAAGGTATTATAGAGCTGTTGATCAGGGGATTGACATACTGCTGAAACCCATCTTTGGTTTTTATCGTATGCCACACTTGAAAAAATTTGACTGGTGGGTTTCTATTTTTCTCGAGGTTGTCTCGTTATTTCCAAAGGGAATGAGTTCAGGAAAGAGTGTCGAGAGACAAAAGAAAAGATGTCAGAAATTCAGGTCGAAAAGTCTAGCTGGTATAAGGCTTTAGGAACAGCCGGGGTATCCGGGGACCACTGCCCTATAATGACGAGTGAGCATCATCCTCTTCTCTTTTCAAGGTTTCTACAAGATTGAGTATATAGACGATCATAACGTCATACTTGCACATGATAGGCTAACTGTAGTTAGCCAACACTCTACTTTTGACACTATACCATATCGGGTTAGTCTGGATGGTTCCATGACGAAGTCAAGCGCGTCTAACGAAACGACGTTACAGCTCCCTCAAGAACATCGGGCTCCAATGGAATCAGTGACGTGGACTACATATTACTTAGGTAACGTTTCTGCCTGAATTCCAGTTTTACCCTTGACGGAAAAAAACTTTGTCCCGACCCAACACCCAAGACTCGAGGGTACACACTGCCAACCTCCCTCTCTACCCCTGCGACGTTGTAATGGCGACCTGGGCCTACCCCCCACTGCCCACAGAGCAGATCAACCATGAGGCGGACACTGCACTGGTATGTAAAAACATATATGGACCCATACAAGCGCTCTTTACATGGAGGTCTGGTTGGCTGTAGCTATGATCCATGTGGAGCTTTCTCTAGTATAGTGCCAACAGCTTTATCTTAGGCCCGAGAGTTAGAGTGGCTCTTACATTCGCTACAGGATTCACTTGCTTCACTGAAGAAAGGTCTCCAAGAATGTGCCACCCTCCTAGCTCCCCAAGAACCGGGGTCAACCTTGGTGCTGTCCTCGCTGCGGTCGGAAAGCGTGAAGGGATTTGTGACTAGAGTCGGCACTAAGATAGTGAAGGGTGTATGTATCCCAACTTATGTTTGAAGAATAAACATGCGACTAAACCGATCTCTCTCTAGGATGTTCAACTTCGTCTGGCATCGCTTCCGCCTCCTCGGGGTGTCCCCAGCACCCGATTGAACCTATCCCAGTCCCCCGAAGCCCCAGAATTAGTACTTCGGCAGCTAGTATCGGTTCGAGACCTTGTGGCTCAAAGCCTGGATATTGTGGATGTGAGCACATGGACGGGTGATCCTCTCAATGCAGGGTTCATTTTCAGTCAATTACACCTCTTGCTCGAGACGATCAGCGAGGCGCGACAAATGTTGAAAGGAGACAGCGATGAAACGCGAGGCAAGTGGTGGGATACCAGTGCCACCGAAAATGTATGTTCAATTTCTTTGACAAAAGTCCTGCAATATTTTACTGATGTGTATGCTACACAGATGTTTGACCCTCCACTTCCGCCCCATCTTTCGTTCCATCTCTCTATCACAGACTCCGCCCTGGTCCTTATTCTTCGGACCCTAGAGGCTACTGCCCTCAATCACGCACCGACGGCTTTTTCCTCGGACATCTCCTTGACTGGGTTCTCTCTACGTGATCGGATATTCGGCTCCCGAGCACCAACCCATGATGAAGCCGGTAGTCTTTTTCAATGGCAGGGAGAAGAAGTCCGTGTCAAGGAGAAGGTCCGAGTGGAGAGCCAAGATCCCAGTCTGATGGCGGTCATGGCGAAACTATCGGCCCTTGAGCATGAGGTGATGCGGTGCGTTGCTGCCCTGCGGATTGTCATGGGCGATGAAGATACGGAGAGCGAAGCTTAGATATTTGATTGATACCCTACTGCATCTGAATTATGAACATCTTGCTTGTTGTAATTATAATTTGAGCACTCAAGACAGGGCCTTTAGAAGTAATAGGCTCAGTGTTGTTATTTGAGATATGTATTCAGCCATCATGAGGTTAGATCTAGGACCTTGTCAACCGGGTGCTTAATGTATAATAGACCGAGGCCAATCAGCATATAATGTACAATATACACATATTCCTCCCTATAAAAGAAATCCATGGCTGTTATAGATCTCTGATACCGAATTAAAACCGGGCCCAAAGGGGGCCAGCCAATGAGAGACCCGCAGTTTGTGATGGCCGCATGGCTGTCTTGGCATCAATTTTCTGGGCTTGGCCATTTTTCTTTCTCTTTCAACCTCTTGAACAGGGACTGTCGACAAGAGCTGGAAAATGTTATCCAGGTCTTCAGCATCAGGCGCCAGTCGGTCACAATCGCGCGAACTGTTTCGCACCTTTGCCCGCCCTCCTGGATCGCGACAGCTCCACGGACCTGTTAACCGTTTGACACCTACACAACAACGCACTCTTGTCCAAAAAGCATCGCCTTTGGTCGCGTCCAAAAATTTTGCGCACCGAAGAAACACTTCCGACTATGCGGTCTCACAATGTCAGCCTCAGCGGAGGTTTGTGTCAGGCCCAGCGTCTGCCGACTCGCCGCCTCAACCCAGCCAATCTATCGAACCGGTTGATATCAATACCCTGATCGATCGAATCGGCGAAAATGAGGCGGAAATAGCACAAATTCTTGGAGAGCTAGAAATTATGGGCGAAGAGGGAGAAGGAGATGAGCTCATCGACCTGATCGCTCAGCGAGACGAACACACCGCAGAGTCATGGGTACACCTGATCAAACAGCGCTTTGGAGATGAGATGCCAGAGGGGCTACTGGATGACGCCGAACTTCAAATATATGCCCGCCTCTATGGAGAACCAATCATTCGACAGGAGGTCGAATTAATGGCTGAAGAGGAAGAGGAAGATATGAGCTTGCTCCGCGAAGATGGACAAGGAGGATGGGAGGAAGTCGATCTAGAAGAAATCACCACCGAGGATGATGTTCCATTGGTGTATGACATGGATATTTCTCTGGAAGAGCGGGAAACAATTGCCATGCAACGGACCAGAGAAGTGGCAGAGCAGTTGGGCGGCGAGATCATGCTCGAGGAATTCGAGAACGAGGCAGTCCCTGACTCTGCTCCAAGGATGCACCCGCTCACCCTCGAGGGCAAATTCGGAACTGATCCTACAACTATCCATCTGCCTAAGGATACTGTCACTGGTCCCATATCGGTGATTCTGTCAGAATTCTCCAACAAGCACATCTCCGAGACTGCTCGGCGCCTGTTTGGAGGACCTGGATTGCCCCATTCGAGTACAACTGCGCCTCCGCGTGCCCAATTACCACAACTTCCTGTCGCCCTGAATGCGTCGCAGCGTCAAATGGGTGAAATGGAGGCCAACGCATACTTGGCAGCATTGTACCCTGGAATCTACGCATCGACACTTAGTGTTATGGTTGAGATTCGCAAGCGATTGGGCGTCGATTGGATCCGCCGTCTCATCGCACAAGATGGTGGGCCGAACGTTCTTGATGCTAGCGGTGGTGGTGCCGGCATTCTTGCCTGGAGAGATATTATCCGCGCGGAATGGGAGCTCATGGTTCCCGATCACCCCTCGGGAGCCCCCATCCCCTTTGGGAGATCAACTGTACTGACAGGCTCCGATGCCCTTCGGCGACGCGCTGCTATCATGCTGGACAACACTACCTTCCTCCCACGGCTACCTGATTACGTCCATGTGCGCGAGAAGCCTACAATTGATGACTCGCGGAAAGCCCCTAAACGCAAACAGTACGATATCATCATCGCACCGCACTCTCTTCTCGGCCTTGAAGAAGAATATGAGCGTAAACAACACGTGGAGAACTTGTGGTCTCTGTTGAACCCCAACGGGGGTATTCTCATTCTACTCGAGAAGGGCCGCCAGAAGGGCTTCGAGGCTATCTCTGGTGCTCGTGAAATGCTCCTGAAGCGCCATATCGCAAGCCCCGGCTCTACCGAATACGACAACTTCCTCGAAGACCCCGACCAGCGCGAGGTCATTGAGAAGGAGCGTGGAATGATCGTCGCCCCCTGTACCAACCACTCAACCTGCCCGATGCACAATTCCTCGGGTGCTACCAAGGGCCGTAGGGACTTCTGCCATTTTGAGCAGCGATACATTCGCCCTCCATTCTTGCAGCGCATCATGGGAGCAAAAGACCGCAACCACGAAGATCTCAAATTCAGCTACCTCGCCGTGCAGCGTGGCGTAGACCTACGACAAGACCAAGCAATTCGTCAAGATTCTGAGGCTACAGATGCCGCGTTCGAAGGATTCGAGGACCCCGAGGAGTCCGATATCCCCAACAAACCAGCCTTCCACACCCTATCCCTCCCCCGCGCCATCTACCCACCCATGAAACGCCGCGGCCATGTCATCTTCGATCTCTGCACGCCCGCCGGCAAAATCGAGCGCTGGACCGTCCCGCGCTCCTACAGCCGCCAGGCCTACCGCGACGCCCGCAAGTCTCATTGGGGAGATTTGTGGGCTCTGGGAGCCAAGACCCGCATTCCCCGCAACCTGAACCTTGGTGATAAGCATGGTGAGGGTAAGAAGGAGCGTTTGGCTCGCCGTGCGGCGGCGAAGGCTTCCGAGGAAGAGGGGGAGTTTGAGAATGACGGAGAAGAGGAGGATGAAGAGTATGATATTCATGACTCGGATGTTCCTGATGTCCCTGTCAAGAAGAGGGGCCAGCATATCCCCAGTTGGAAGAAGCATAATGATAAAAAGAAGATTCGCCAGGCTTCCAACAAGCGTTCTGTCGACGAATAAATGGGTTTGATTTGGCGCAATTCTTTTGTGGATTTGGATGTTCGAAAACATGTACTATACTACTAACTGGCAGCATTTGGCATTGGGACTGGGGACTGGATCTTGTACACTAGGATATTATTCTCGCACTTCTACAGATGTAAATATAGCATCTTCACTCTAATCAAAAGTTTGATATGTATTTGATTGATTGATACAGTATCCAAGGGGTCATTTTGGTCCGAGTTCATCATTTTCCCCCTCCAATGAGATAGTCTTGGTAGAGGCCGTTGGGGAACCCGCTAAGTCGGTTGTGATGAAGCATGGGTTTGTCACGACCGGGGGGACTGTGCCAGGCTCAAGAGGCCTGGTATATCATCGGAAACCTTTCCTGAATGAAGCCCTGAAATGAACACGGGGCTCTTTAAATTGCGCCGGACGTGAGAGGCACTGTTGTTCTGGGAAGACCGTCGATAGCTTCAGGTTTGGTGTTTTTCTAGCCAGAGTTGGCGAAGCACACACAGTCGAGTATGTTGTGGGTAGAAATCAGACAAAAGTCACACCGGAGTCAAATTTTCCTGACAGACCAGTCGCTTTTCGTAATGGCAGATATTCTTATCTCGCAAGGTGACGCCGCCACATTCACTGCGCAGCCATACTCTTTCGCAATTGTCTTTGCTTCTGCGTACTCTGCAACTCCAATCGATCAACTACAAACTTGAGCCGTTCTTTCTTCTGCACGAGTCTCCTCAGCTCCGCTGCCTTGGCTGCTGCCGCATTACCTGACGAGCCAGCGCCGGGCCCCGCCATGCGACCCCGCAGTGTGCTGCTTTGATGTTGGCCGCGAGTAGCTGATGACCGGCCCTCCGGGGTGGACGAGAGTCGGCCTTCTTGGAGGTCGCATTTCGCCTTGAGGCCTTGTTCGCGGCGTGCGAGCTTTTCAACGTGGTTCGATGATAGTGTGAGGAGGTGGGCGATGCTGGGTGTGATTTCGTCAAGCAGAGATTGCTGCGCTTCGCACAATGTAGGCTCAGGGAGAAGCTCAAAGTGCTATTCAAAGATAAATGGTTAGACTTATAGCTTCTCAATTCTTTTAGGAATGAAACTTTGGAAGAACATACTCGCGTGGTCTGGAGGACCTTACATAGACGAGGGTAATCGTTCACGCCTGAATCAAGGATTGATATAGAGTTGTCCAGAATCTGGAGAGAGGACTGTAGCGAGGTAACTGAGGAAGACAATGAGGACGCCATAGTGTGTGCTTTGGAGCTTGATTTGGAGATGATTGTTTACGGTCGGGATAGATCGGGCGATAAAAGCGGCATGACACCGCCTTTAAGGCGGCGTGGTCTCGGGACCGGGCAAACCTCCCAAACCTCACTTCTCCTCTTCCGTCTCCTGCCTCACCATCTTCCCGAATACCGAATTCTCCCCGCATTCGATTCACCTGTCACAATGTCTCTCCTCGGAAAGAAGTTCCCCGGCGCCTTGGGTACGTGTTTTATGGACCTCGATTACGACTCGTGGGAGAACGATATGAAGACCGGCGACTGACGCATATTGACTTACAGCCAAGCCTATGGCTCCCTTCTTCGCTGCCGGTACGCATACCCCTTAATCCTTGAAATGCCCTGAGAATCCCGAACGCATGGATTGTCCATTCGGAATACCACACCCTCGAAGCGGTTGTTGGTGGAACATCACTAACGATTCTCCTCTCCAGGCATCATTGTGCTCTACGGCGTCAACTCTCTCCAGAACGCCCTGTCCAACAGTGAGTCTACCCCATACATATACACATAAGTTATCGACGAGTTTCGGGGTCACATGCGACAATATCCACGAAATGACACTCCGATGAGCGTCTACGAGCATAAACAACTAACCTTCAAATCTGTACAGCCGCCCAGTACAAGAGCGACCCCCGCAACCCCAACGCTAAGCCCGCTGGCAAGGCTGACCACTAAATTGGGTCGATAATGAATGCATTTTGAGATCCCATTTGTTCATTGAAGAGGAGCGGGACGAACCGTCGCGATGTGTGGGTGGACGGAGATGGCCCAGGTCATCAATGGCCGGCTTGCACTTTTTGTGATTACGATGCGGGCAGTTTTCCCCTGTCCAAGCATATAGACTACATATACCCACCTCGATGGGGGTGACTTGGGTCAATTCACAAGCTGTACCAGTACCATTCTGAGCGAGTCGCTTTTTCCTTTTGTAGCGTCCCTTCTGGTGGATGATATCCAATCAATCAGAGAAGGAAAAGTAAGTTATGCCGAATATTCCGGAGCCTGTTGTATTATGGGTAAAGCTATAACTAGGGTTTGTGGACTCATACTTCACACCTGTTCATTGCTACGCTACTTCACTTAGGGCTAGATTTCTACTTCTTTGCAGCCGTGCAATACGTTTAAATTAGCCCTTGTTTTCGGCGTGTCATTTATTTTGTTTGTAACGGCTATCCATCGAAATACTAGCAGTAACGTAGGACTTTGATGCCACAGCGTGAAATCTTGCATCAAAGCACGCTAAACCCGATCGGGAACCCCGTTTTTCCACCTGGCCGAAGCTCAATCATTTTCCGACCTCAACTCCGCGATACCCCCCAATTAAACACGCCAAAATGACCAAAATGGCAGGCCTTTTCCGGCCCAAGAAGCTGGACCTTTCTGGATTTGTCAACACCCGTTTGATCCGGGACAACAACAAGCGCATGGCCTTCGAGCAGACCGAGCCCGAACGGTACGAATGTCCTTCTCCCAGATGTTGTAGCTTGACCGAGGATGGATGTCACGGGCTGGGAAATCCTTTCTGGGAATTGAGACATAAATGCTGACTTTTTGTCTTCATTCGCAGACAAGCTCTCCGCTACATGATCCGGAACACCTCCCTCCCTGGCCGAGTTCGCGCGCAGGCTCAGCTCCAATTGTCGCAGATGCACGCCTACACTCGCCCCACTCAGATCAAGAACCGTTGTGTCGCATCAGGCACTGCCCGCAGTGTGTTCCGTGATTTCAGAATCAACAGAGTGAGTGGAAAACTCCGGCCAATGGCCGCATCTTGTCCGGGGCTTTTGATATCATATCGCTAACACACTGTCTTCTCCAGTACCAATTCCGTATGCAGGCCCTCGCTGGTGAACTGCCCGGTGTGAGAAAGGCCAGTTGGTAATTGTATGATATTGTTGCCGGCACTCTGTGATATATGGAGACCTCTGGTTGAATTGTTTGCACGATGGCGTTTTCTTCTTTACTTCCATTGGGTGGAAGTATGTACAGTATGCAATTCTTACTAAGAAATCAAATGTTTCTTTGTCATTCTGACTCCTCCGCTGGTCTCGGTTTGTTGACATTGACTTGTTGACAAGGCCAAGAAATGCTTTGGCCCTGATCCTCGTTTGCTGATGTTGTGAGACGAAGCTTTCTTTGTTGAGGTCATGTCAATTGGGCTGTTTGCTTCCACTATACCGGCTAATTGCAGACCAGTCCGGCTGATTTAAGTGATACTTGCTCCGGTCATGTCATCTTAGTGGCGTAAATCAAAGTTTCAACTCATAGATCCTCAATATCAGGGCAAGGTTCGTTGGCGTAGTCTGTCGACAGTCGCATCACCCGCGGTCATTGAGCAAATGGGAAGCTCGTCGATGCCTGCCATAATCACATGGTCGTTGATTGTTGCCGCGTCGACATCGTGTTGAAAAAGCGCAGCGCCTTCCGGTTTCTGCATATATGATAGTCCCCTCCTTCTCTTCTTTTCTTCTTTCTTTCCTTCTCTCCCTTCCATTCAACCATCACTCATCTTCCCCTCTTTTCGCTTTGACTTTCTTCTCAAATCAATCTCACATATTGATTTGAAGCATCACAGCAATGAATAGCATTCTGGGAGATCTTCTCCCCGATGATGTGGTCTTCGCTGAAGACCTGCTAGAGCTTGGGCAAGTTTTCCATATTCAACGTGATATCCCGGCCTTAGGGACTAACAGTCGATTGAATGACACAGGTTTGTCATCACCGACGATGACAGGATCCGGTACGTGGGTGCCCCAGACCAGGGCCCACGCTTCAAGATCAACCGGAGTGCGCGCATCAACAAGGCTCACATTGAGGCCTTGCATAGTTAGTTAATCCTCAGATCTATTTCCGTAGGCTGTGATCTCGATGAATCATCTGGCGCTAACAACTTCACAGAGGCGATCCATACCATCGTCATTGACCGGCTCCTGGGAATGGGCATGCATTTTATGAAGATCCCCAAGGGCAGCAATCGCCAGGTACCCATCCTCGTGTCAGGCAACGTCGATACTGCGCCTCGAGTCGTTGTCTTCTGTGGCGAGATCATCGAAGACCTGGGTGTTTTCTCGTACCGTGACATTTGCGACGACGGCGTTTCTTTCGGTTCGATCCTTGGCTTTGCAAAGGCTCTGCTTGGTGAAAATGCTCAAGATTCACCCAATGCTCTCATCCTTGCGAACGCCGGGCACAAGATCTGGTACAATTCTGGTTGGTACGCGGTGACCGAAGACAGTTATCATGGTCATCACTGCACCTCTGCTGTGGAGCGCGAACGTCAACTGAGCCCTCGTAACATGCTCGACAAAAGTGGCATCGTTGAGCACGTCCGGAACATCTTCGAAGGAATTTTGATTCGCAACAACTTCCAAGTCGATGCCAGAATCGACGTCATTGGTCTGTCTGAAGGCGGCCATGCTGCCATTACATACCTGAAGAGTCAATGTGAGTATCTGACTGAACAAGATAGTTGAGCATTGCTTACTGACATGACCCCTAGGGAGTTTCTGGTCGCCCAATATCTCCTCCCTGTCCCTCATCAACCCTGAGACTATTGCTAAGGCCGAGACCAATATTGATGATCTGAAGGATCCACAGTCTTTCTCCTGGTTCATGAAGTACCGCTGCCGTGGCTGGACCGTTTGTGATAAGCCGATTGGCGTACGTCTGCCCGATCTTAACCTCCTTCATGGTGGTTGCAACACGTACTCGTCCGGTGAAAGCACCAAGTCGTCATGCATGATCACCCGTGGTATGGCACACATCTTGACGTGGATGAATATCATGCATCAATGCCCAGCGGCGATGGAGAAGTTTGATGTGGTGCCTGGCAAGACCGGTTCTGACAACGAAGTTGTTCCCGCATCACTGAGCAACGACATCGAGCCCACTGGCGGCAAGGTTGAAGTGCACACCCTAGAGACCCTGAACGATATGAAAGGCTTCCTGACCGGCCTCATACTCACCGATAAGATGGTCACCTTTTTCAAAGACAAATACACCGATGAGATGGCTCGCTTTTCAAACGACAAGTTTAACCACGCCGACAGTGATGGCACTTACGGCGACAGTGAGAGTTCGGAAGGTGACAGAGTTGAGAAGGGTGACGAATATGACAACCTTCCTAATCTTGCCCCTGGTCCTCCTGACCTGTTTTCTCCGGCGGTTCCTTCCTCGCTTCGTGACGCTCTTCCTGGCCTTATCACTGCCAGGGTTCCTGGCGCTCTTCCTGTCACGCCTCCTGATGCTCCAGCTCCGGAAGATGCGTGCTATGACGATGTCAGCAGAGGCCGGACTGGCCCTTTCGATCTTAGTGATACGCAGGATATCCGAGAAGAGGTCGAAGAGCATTAAATCCCTTCAGTGCGCCCTGCTTCCTTCTGAAGCCGCATTGGGTTCGTCTATGGGTGGGATGTCTCGGTTTGTTTTACCCGGTGTTTCTACCGGTTGATGTTGATTTTTATTTTGCTTTTAATCTTTTCTCGCGCGCAGATGGTTGTTCTTTCCTCCTTGAGATCATTTCACTAGAAAATACAAAAAACCACAAAAAAAAAAGGAGGAAACTACCACCATCTGCGGAGATCGCGAATGAATGAAACCTCTTGCGCAAAATTTCCCGGCCAATTTCACTGTATGCACTATGCATATGTACATATGTAGACAGAATAAGGTCTGCTTTCCCTGTCTGGGCTGCTGCTTTACGAAAGCGGTGCAGGATGTAGATGTTAGCATAGGCTCAGTTGCTACATGTAGTTTGATAATGGGAATAAAAGGTACACATACAGTGTCGGGCATTTTCCCATAATCATTTCAAAACCCGGATCACCCACTGCAGAACCATATAGAGCTGGTGACTATTTTACGTAGGACTATCTCTTTGGGCCCCTAGCAACCTATTTGCATGTAGCTAAACCCTATCACATTAACCAGTATCTATCACTGGTTATGTATAGGAAAGCGATATAGAAGTTATGCTTTTTATTGGTATTCTACAGTCTATGGCCAACGATACTCTTCGGGAAACAAGGCGCTATATTGTGGAATCTAGTTCATGATCGTGTTTCTGGGGCCTACATTCAAGCAAAATGGTGCCATGAAAATATAGCAAGGTCCGAGTAGACTACTTCAGAGCCGGGCGCTTGGGCTGGGTTGGCCGATGAGCGATTTTGATTATGTAAGACAGCAAAAGTCCTGAGGCAAAAAGCGACTACAGGAAAGTTGTATGCGTAGGTATGTCCATGGGTATCAGTAGAATCAAAGCAAGACCACAGCCTTGACCAGATTGTATAAGAGCGTGTTGGATATCTAACCCCATATATATAAACATCACGGAACATCATATTAAGCATCTGGGTGGATTACACTGCTGATCACGGACCAGTGACGGATGGAATTCACGCAGGCATCAGCCTTGGAAGAATCCCTGAAGGTTTGGGGGTCCAAACAGATCAAAGCTGTTTTCTTACCCTATTATCTCTTCCATCTTCTCATTCCATTCTGCTCATTCTCTTCAGTTCTCCTAGGATATGGAGTGAAACTGTTGAAAACCTCTCGGCAAAAACAGGGCAAAAACAAGGCCATAGTCACGATACAGTATCCCTCTAGTGTTTCCCCCGAAAGCAGTTTCGATCGAGTAAAAAGAAGGCGAGACAGTTTCCATCGAGTAATCCGATAAAGCGGGCCGTTGATAAGCGTTTGGAATTGCCCGCATTTCGGAGATGCCCGACGGCTTTCGCTTCAGCAATATCGACCTATACTGGTGTTAAGGTGTATTCCAGAGAATGCAAGGCATTCTCTCCCTCCAATCCCCAATAGGGACTGTGACTGTCTGGGCTGGTTGGCCGGAACAATCGCAACACCGTCGGGTTCTGGAATAATATGGCTCGGCAGTGGGCCTGTGGATATTCTGGACATTCTGGATATTCTGAAAAGTGAGATCCCATTTAACCCACGGCCCAGACTTTTTCTCGGAGGCCGTATTTATATCTCCCCCAGTCCCCTTATCTTGGGCTTTTTGCCCCTCTACTCTTATCTTTCTTATCACAACTTTCTTATATTCCCTTATACTCCCACGTCTAGAATATCCAAGCATGGCTAACCTCCCCTCCATTGCCGTTGTGACTTCATCACGCGCCGTTATCTCCGGCCGTTTGACCGCGGCCACTGTGGTGATCTCACGGACAACCGGTAAGATCACCGCCGTCTTCGATTCCGTGATTCCAGCATCCGACTTCCCCGTGGATACTCCCTATACCGACTACTCGCCCTATGTCCTGCTACCCGGCCTGGTCGATGCGCACGTTCATTTGAACGAGCCCGGCCGCACGGAATGGGAGGGCTTCTACACAGGCACTCAAGCCGCTGCCTTTGGTGGCGTGACCACAGTCATTGATATGCCTCTCAATGCCATCCCGCCCACCACTACTGTGAACGGGTTGAAAGAGAAGATCAAGGCTGCCCAGGGCCAGTGCTGGGTTGATGTCGGTTTCTATGGCGGTATCATCCCCGGCAATGCGGGCGAGCTCAAGGCTCTTGTCCAGGAGGGCGTCCGCGGCTTCAAGGGTTTCTTGATTGACAGTGGTGTAAGTGGATGATATCAGCATCGTGTGTCTGATTGGTATTAACTCTCGTTCATAGGTTGATGAGTTCCCCGCTGTCGGCAGAGAGGATATCAAGAAGGTCATGGCCGAGCTGGCCGATGAACCAACAACTCTCATGTTCCACGCCGAGATGGTGCCTCCCATTACCGCATCTGTGGGCGACGAGGTTCAGACATCTGATGCACCTGCCGCTCCTGTCGGTCCCCTTGAGGCGTATGCCACTTTCCTGGCCTCGAGACCCTCCTCATTCGAGACCTGCGCCATCGAAAGTATTCTGTCTTTGGCTCACCTTGCTCCCAACCTCCCCTTGCACATCGTTCACCTCTCTGCAAAGGAAGCTATCCCCTTGTTGCGGGAAGCCCGCGCCAATGGTGTCAAGATCACAGCCGAGACCTGCTTCCACTATCTGTCCCTGGCAGCTGAGGAAGTACGCGACGGCGACACCCGCCACAAGTGCTGCCCGCCTATCCGCTCAAAGCTGAACCAAGATAGTCTATGGGAAGAGCTGGAGAAGCACACCGCCGACGGTGTCATCAAGACCGTCGTCTCCGATCACTCCCCCTGCACACCAGACTTGAAGATGCTCCCAGCCCATGTCCCCGGCCATTGCGCCGGCGGTAAGGACGAGAAGACTGGTGACTTCTTCTCTGCCTGGGGCGGCATTTCTTCCGTCGGATTGGGTCTGCCCATCCTCTGGACAGACCTTAGCCGCCGCAAGGGCCTGACCTCTTCGCCAGAAGATGAGAACACCAAGAACGCCCTCCAGGACGTCGTTCGTCTCTGCTGTGCCAATACTGCTGCACAGGTTGGCTTGCAGTCGCACAAGGGTGACCTGGTTGTCGGCTTCGATGCTGATATTTGTGTTTTCGATGACTCTGCCGAATGGACTGTCGAGCCGAGCACCATGCTCTTCCGCAACAAGTGCTCCCCCTACCAGGGTCGTACTCTGCGCGGCATGGTTCGCGAGACCTGGTTGCGTGGTGAGCGTATCTTCAGCCGTGAACAGGGTTTCGATAGCCAATCGCCGCACGGAAAACTGCTTCTTGAGAAACGGGTTTAAGATATTCCCTCTCTTCTTTCTTTTGTCCACGCTTGGGACAAGTTGACATCTCGGCAGTGCGCCTTGGTCTCTTTTCTATATTTCTGCCACTTTACACCTCGATCTTGACCTGTGAGATCGAACCCTCTGATGAGCACTAATGATCGCACAGCATCCATACCCGTTAGATTAATGACAGCACATCGTAGCTTTAGGGATAGAATACCAAAAGCAATTGAATCTATCCAAGTCTCTTGAACAAGTTGGCACATAAAAAATACATTAATGTAGTTATTTCCCTGACCTCGAGCATACTATACAAATACATATCAAAGACTCACGTCCTCCCCATCCCTCCCCTTCTCCCACTTCTCCCTAACCCTCCTCCTAACACCCCCATTAACCCCCTTCCCCCAGATCTCCTCCTTCTCCGTCCCGACCTCAACACCCTGATCAGCTTGATCCACCTCCCCAACCGCCCCAATAACAACCTTCCTCTCCCTAATTGCCCTCTCCTTAACCCTCGCCCGATCCACCTTCTCAATATACGTCCAATACAAAAACGACTCCGCAACAGCAACACTCAGTGCCGCGAACATCCCAAGAAGAACCTTAGCCGCCTCACTCGACAGTAGCTCCGGCGTCGGAAACCGAGTGAGCGCAGCGTACACGGCGAACCCGGTCACAATCACCGAAATGAAGACGCTAGAAACAAGTGAGATCGTCAGGGTGTCTTCTTCTACGTGGCCATCGCTCGTGTATGGCGACGTGTGCGGATCCGCATGGTCGGCGTTTGGCTGGTAGTTTGGGTTTAGGAGGCGGTTGTAGGATTCTTGTTCTGTTGCGGCGAGGAGGCGGGCTTTTGAGGCGAGATATTCGGCGCTCTAGGTTGTTTGTATATGTTAGGATCTGACCTGTTTTGATACGGGGTTTTATGTTGAAAAGGAAGGGATGGGTTTGTGTATAGACCACGTACAGGCTCTGGCTTCTTTGGCGGCGGAGGAACGTAGATTTTTGTGCCGCGGAGGAGGGAGCTGAGAATTGTCGGGGTGTGAGAGGCATGGTCTTCATATTCTAGGTCGGTTTGGAGGTATCTGGCGAGTCGGATCAGTTGCTCGTGGGCTATTGGGCCTTGTGCTTCGAGTGTGGTAGGCAGGTCCAGCTCCTCGTGGCGCGAAGCTGGAATAGCTTCGAACGCGGCGAGAATGCGATCTGTCGTAATAAGGAGAACCATTTGAATATCAATTCAGAAACAAATTAGGCCAAAGCAGAATGCATCAGTTCATCGGGAGAGATAAAGCGGAGACCAAAAAAGTGGCAGTTAAGCTCCTCCCCACATCGTCATCTTCCTCTCTCTTACACATATTAGCGACCATGGCGGACTCAAAGAAGAGGTAAATTCCAATTCCAATTCTATATCTCTACACAAATCCCCTTCTAGCTTCCACACCCGAACCTCAATCCCATGCCCGCATTCGCAGAAAACTGACCCCTCCACCCCCCAGCACGGTAACAACACAAACCAACCCGCGCGGGATCCCCGTCGCCCCATTCATCGACAATGTCAGCGACTACGTCTCCTCCCGTGAGGAAGTCGAGCCCACCCTCCGCTCCTTCCAGGAGATGATTTCCAAGTACCAGTTTATGGAAGTGAACACGCAGCGCCGCGGCCAGGGCCTACGCGAGAAGATCCCCGATATCAAGAAGACGCTGGAGATGGTGCGGTTCTTGCAGCTGCGCAAGGAGGTAAATCCCCCCCTGTGGCTGTATTCATAACATCCAAGAAGAAAATGCGATTTGTGGAGTGTGTCCATGGACAAAAAAAAAAAGACGACGTGGAAATTGAGGGAATATCGCTGACGCTCTACTTCTAGTCCAACCCTGACTCAGACCTCGAGACTAACTTCGAACTCAATGATACACTCTACGCCCGTGCTGCGATCTCACCTGCTGATGCCGAGGAGGTCTACCTCTGGCTTGGAGCGAATGTCATGTTGGCGTATCCGCTTGGCGAGGCGGAGACCATGCTGGATGAGAAGCTCAATGCTGCAGAATCGAGCTTGCAGAATTGCGAGGAGGATCTGGAATTTTTGCGCGAGCAGATTACGGTTAGTTCGGCGAGAGGGGTGAGGGGATATTAGGGCTTTTGCTAATGGTCTTTGCAGACATTGGAGGTTGCCACGGCGCGTGTGTACAACTGGGACGTTGTAGAAAGACGTAAGGATAAGGCTGATGGCAAGGGTGATGAGGGAAATAAAAAATAAGCGCCCTGGTGGCGAAATGTGTTGATTCTGAAGGGATTTAATATTATAAAAATTTATGGTCTATTATCTTCCAGGTTAAATGTCAAAAAAGGCAATCATAACGCATTGGAGAAACATTGAAACGAAGTGGATATTAGAAGAATAAGCTCTAAACCAAGTGCTTTATGCATATAAAACAAAAAAGAGAGACGCATGTCATGATTCGTGAGGTAATAGAAAATCGTCAAAAACGGAAAGAAAAAGAAAGCGAACACCCAAATCTCCCAATCATCCCGATCTTCGTGAAGGTTGAGGGCGCTACCTCCACAATGAACATCTCGCAGTCCGCACGCCTGTACAACATATTGTGTTGGCAACAAGATGGGGATTTGAGGATGGTGGAAGGTCTCGACAATGCGCTGCTGTATCTCAACGGAAAACAAAATGCTAATCATTCAACCTAGGAAAACAAAATCATTGGAACATGTTGGAACCTAGCCTGTCGGTATTCGAAGCAGCACGCTCACGCATCCGCTTCGAGATGTCGAAGCCAGTTTCATCACCGACAAAGGTCCATTCTTCAATATCATCAAGGTCGTCATCGCCTCCATCTGGGGAGGTCTTAGCTGTAGGTGTAGGAGAGAATGGGGTGGACGAGGCAAGCGACTTTTGTCGGGCCAGTGTCTTGGCGTATTCAAGATCGCGATAGAGGGCCTGGATTGCAGTGGCCACGCCGTCTTCCTAAACAGGAAATATCAAATTAGCACTCCATCCACTTAGCCTAGATAGACTGGGAATAACTCACATTGCGAATCTGAATGCCCAGGTTCCGTGCCTTTACAATCATACGTTCGCTGTGCGTCGTCTCCCAGAGAGCCCGTGAGAAGACACTGACGTTCAGTTTCTTCATGCAGATGCCAACGCCTAGATCCTCCACCCGGGAGCCGAAGAAGAACTGGTCTCCAAAAAATGGTTTGACGATGGTGGGGACGCCAGCTCGAAGACTTGCGCCGGTGGTTCCTGCTCCGCCGTGGTGGGCTGCAGCATCGATTTGAGAAAAGAGCCAGTCGTGGGGTGCTGATTGGATCTGATGAATCTCTGGTGGTAGAGGTATCTCGGTCTTCGTGCTGGCTGGGTCCCCAAGCCTATCGGACCACCCCTTCGAGAGAATACATCGTACATCTGCTTTCTGGACTGATTCGATGACAGTCCGTGTCAGGGCTGAAGGATCCGAGACCACAATAGATCCGAACCCGATATACACGAGCTTCTTGCCATCCGCTCTGGCTTGCGCAATGAAGTTCGATAGTTCAATTGGAGGAGTCCAATCTGTGCCCTCATTCAAAAACCAGTAGCCGGTAATGCGAATCCAGTCCGGGTAATCCAGAGGTGGGGCCACCACGGAGGGTGAATAATTATAAAGGAACGGGACTTTGTTCTGTTGCATCTTGTCCAAGGTTGTGGCCTTCAATCCCAACTCGTTATTTCGCCAGCGGTTCACTTGCCCCGCGATGGCCTTCCAGAAGATGTTGTCGAACATGACGTATGTGATGTAGTTGTATGCTCCACCCATGCGATTCTCTGGCACTGCAAAAGCATGAGGGTAGGCCCGTGTTCTTGTCCATGGCATAGTGAACCCACGGAAGTATGGAATTCTTAAAGCCTCTGCAATGTGAATTCCGGCCATGGCGCTTGGTGACTCGATTAGAAGGTCACTGCCCTGACAACCAATCCAAGCGGACGACAAAAGATCATCGATCCATCCTCTAAATTTCAATGAAGCTTCCCTCAGGAAGGAATATGTGAACATGCCGTTCTCCACGCAGATCCGCATTAGCTCCGCAGGATCACCATCAACGGGAGCAAAGTCAATTCCGTGTTTTCTGATCCAGGGCTCGAACTCGGCGTGGGTTGCAATCTTCGGTTTGTGGCCCTCTGCAAGCAGTCCTTTGCAAAGCGCAATGTACGGTTGTACATCGCCCCGGGAGCCGATGGTCAGACAGGTAATTCTCAGAGGCTCAGGAGGTTTGAAGTTGATAATGGAAGCGCGAGGATCGTCGAAGAACGGATGTATCTCTGATGAATCCTCAGGAGAAGTCGGAGGTACATCGTGTTCCTCAGGGCTGTCCATTCTCGCTTCCTGAAGCATGCGGTGCTCAGCCTTAGCTGCTTCAACTTCGTCTCTTTCTTCATCAGCTAGCAAGCCAGATTCCACTAGGAATTTCACAGACTCCAGATTTTGGTGCAATGTGACTGCGCAATCATCTCGTGAGTCTGCGGCATTAAACTCAAAGAAAAGCTCTTCATGCCCACGGATGATGACGACAAGTCCATGGTATCCAAAGCGGAAGCCTTTCTCTTTTTCAACGTTCTCGATGTCTTTAAACGGTAAAATCATTTTGGTCCGAGTACCAGGAATCAGACTGCGGAAGCAGAGTTTCTTCTGACTTATATAGATCTTGCCGTAGAGCGGGAGGACGCGGTGCAAGTAGGCGTAATAAGTCGCCTGCAGTCTTTCAGTGGGCGGAAGAGCAAAGTGTGCACGGAAGCGATCCCCATAATTGAATGCACCTTCATTGTCCTCGGGATCAACGTTCTGGTCTTCAAGCAATGGCCCTTCTCGTTCTCCATAATGCTTCTGGCCACCAATCCACATGCCGGAGACCTTTTCTATATAGCCCATTGACTCTGCTGCTAACAGTGTACTCATCTGTTTCGAGCGGCTCTTCAAGTATTCTGCAAAACCAGCGGCGCGTTGAAGGGGATATACGCCCGCTTTGACAAGCTCATTCAGATGAGTGACCGAGCTCGGTCTTGACGATTCCATTGGATTAGATTGACCAGTGGTATATCGTATGTCTTCTGTGTCTTCATTGCGACGTAGTGTTCCAGATGGAGAGCCTGCTGCTGCAGCCAGGTCCAGCTGCGCAGACGCAGAGGGAGTCGTATCATCAGAATGTCGTCGAATTGTTTCTCCCGTATCCAATGGGCGCCTTTGCAGTGTGTGCATAGTGGGTGATTGAAAGACGTCGCTTCTGTTCAGTATCTGACTGGCCGATTCAGTGGTGTCGGTCATCGACTGTACAATCGGCGATGATCCGGTCCCTTGCTCCGCAAATGAGTCCGCCGAGCCTTGATTTTCATTTCCTACACTGGAGCTTCGCATGGGCGGCGAGCTTTCCTGTCTTTGATCGGACACTCGAACGCTGCTAACTGACTGTCTCTTATGGGTAGTACGACTAGATTCGGGTTGGTGTTTGATGTCTTGTTGACTCTGCGGCTCTTTCGTTGCGCTAGCTGACGCGGCATTGACCAGGCCTTTGATGTAGTTGAATGCGTCCTGGCCCGAATTAAAGAACGAGAAGAAGTACTGTGAAGTGATCAGCAATGAACATAGTAACATTTTGTCCCACAACCTACCTCGTCAATTGCATATGTCTCGCCGCTGTCTAGAACTCGAATCTTGAATGTTTCCGCGAAATCGGCCATCGGGCTCTCCTCCAGGTCAATAACATTCGCTATTGGGAATGATACTTTGACACTGTCACCTTCATTATGTGTCCGGAAGATGACTTTCTGGAGAGCCTTCACCCATTCCTTTGCACTGGTAGCACTGTCTGCTCTGAATAAATAAGTTCGCTGATCAGTGGTGACCTGAAAATCTTTCGTATCACCGTCTTTGCGTTCTGCGAGAGACGCAGATATCCCATATCGAAGGTCGACATGTCCGCTAGGAAAATAGAGATTGGAGGGGTCTGCATAGTATGAGAGTACATCGCCCTTCAGAGCAAACCAATAGCGATTATACGTGGGGTTCTTGCGGCCGCGTTTGGATAGGTACCCCGACTTTATCGCCACGTTGGACTTCTTCGGAAGGTAGGCATAAAAGCAGATGTGACCCTCAGTCACATACATGTAGCCTTGAAGAAGCATGCTCTGGAGCAATGAGCAAGCATACTCCACCAGAACCTTTTCAGGCTTTGCAAACTCA